TCTGGTTGAGAGAAAACTATTCCTGTGCGTTTTTAGTCTCTGAAATACATCACTGCTGTGTCCCAAATATTATGGAGCCCTGAAAACAAACTGCAGAAATGTATGTAAATAATATTTAATAAAACTTAATTGTGAATGAAAGTTTCTCCTGCTCTGATTGGAGGTTCTGAGCACAGACGGGTATCTGTGATGTTTATGTGCACAAATCAAACTGACTCTGCTTTTCATTCAAAGTCTTTATTAAAAAGCTGCTCACAGCCAAACTAAACCAAACGCTTATTACAGTGGTTGACTGGTCAGCTCTCCTGACCTGAACCCCTCAGAGAATCTGTTATTATGAAGCTGAAGATGAGAAACAGCTCAGACACCATCATTTTCCTCAAATACGTCCAATGGAAGAATTGAAAAGCAGAATTCATGAGCACATAGGTTTCATGTAAAGACGAAGCAGACAGTAAAGTGAGCGGTCCACACACACAGTCATCGTCTACTTTCTGTCAGTAAACCCTCACAGATAGATAAACAAATGTTCTGAATGCACCGTGACTAAAATACAATGAGGTTACATTTCCTGTTACACTAATGTGTTTGATTTCATAGCCTGTGTAGTTTGTGCATTGTGTTTAGTTCCCCTGTGACTTATTAGTTTGATCCTGTTGACCTGTGTCTCATTTTCCTCTCAATTCTTTGTCAGGTTGTCTGCTGTAGTTTGGATTTTTGATATTCAGTTTTCAAACCTTTGTTGTGGATTTGCTGCTGCATACATACATCCTTGGAACCACTTCCTATTTAATCATGAAAGCATATTCTTCTTTTCTGTGGTTTGTTAAAAATCAAAAAGCTGATCTGGTCTGAAGCTCTGATGGTTCCTGACAGTCTGCAGCTTTTGTCTGAGGAACAACACGCTCTGCATAGTCGTCATTATATGAGGTTATAATGTTGGAGAAACATCTGGGTCCTGTTCCAGACAGCAGGTGCAATAACTCTGAGCTTTCTATCTCACAGTCACCTCCTCCTGAACAATCATTTCTTTGGAAAATGGCATCAACATTCCCAGACTATCACTTAGACCTCAGTGAGGTGACCCAGGCCTAAACTTTCTGATGAGCATCAATAACAGATCCTGTGACATGATTTAGTAAACAACTGTATTCTTGTATCAGACTAAAAACAGAGCTCATATTTTCCTTGTGAAGTGTCCACACAGTGTCAGCCTGGTGTGAATGTTTGAATGTCAGACTGGTGAACAAGCTTCCTCTCACACTCTGTACTCTGTGCTTCGTCTCTGCAGACATAACGTTACAGGGAACCTTCCATGTGGAAACATGTTCCAGGTAGAACATCTCACTGAGGCTTATTCGTTAGCTGTTAGTAAAGAAAGAACAAACATCTTCAAGCTCGTGTTCTCAGACCATCACTGAGCTTCACTGAGCAGCAGAAACATACATGATCTTGTCAGAGTGGAGGTGTGAGCTTCACGTCTTCTCCTCACCCATCAGCTCCTCGTTCTTCATTCGGACTAACAGACCCCTCAAACTCTTCGATTTCTCACCGAAGGAAAGGAGTCATCTTTGTCCAAATGGCCAGCGAAGCCATGTCTGCCTTGGGTTACTGACGAGTTGAGCTGATGAAGACAAACACATAACGTCACATGACCCAGTCACACATGTCACATGATTTAAAGATTAGAGATGTCATCAGAGAGAGAGATGAAGAAGAAAGTCTTTAAGAGCCATCAACTACCAGCTTCAAACTTTACGATTATTCAGAGCAATATCTAATACTAGTGACAGCACAAATTCCACTGTCTCACACACTGTCCAATATTACGAATGAACTAACCCTGGATTATTGTACCTCAGTAGCTATATGCAGCTGTCCCTGGTAAATGCAACATGTGCTTGTGACGCCTGATGAAGGCTCTAAGGTCCCTGTTGATACAGCTCTAAGTACTCTAGGATCCCTGTTTGGGTTCTTTCTGTTTCCCATTCACTCGTTACTCCCTTGTGTATATTAGCCCTGTGTTTTCCTTTGTCACGTCGTACCTCCTCATGTGCTGTAAGCATCTCTTTGTTTCAGTTTTAGTTCTGTGTTTCATACTCAAGGTTTTGGTTTGTTTTTCTGTGAGTTTATGTTATGATGGATGCTTTTCCAGCAAATAAAGCTGCCATTCTAAGTTTTTTTTGTGCACGAGTGTCTGGATTTGGGTCCACATGCAGGCTGCATAACCTCACATGACAATCTTAGCCTCTATGATGTCTGACAGGAGCTTCCATGTGGTACTGAGGCAGGTTATCATCTTGTAGTTGGGTGGGACCAGTCCCTTCAGGGGATCCTTGGGGATCAGGACTGTCCAGCCTTCAGTCAGTTAGTCCAGGTGTGTCTCATCCATTAGCGGCTGGTTCATTTGTCCTGCCAGACAATCATGGAGTGCGGTCAGCTTCTTTAACCTGTAGGTATTGATCATGCTGGGGCGCAGTGATGTCCACTGCTTCAGCAGGTGTCGTTACCTGTGGAGCAGAAATGAGCAGCTCCGCTCGAAAAAGTTGTTCTAATGTTACTTGGTGTAACTCTTCACATGCTTTTCCACCTTCTTCTTTTTATGTATTTACCTGTGGAAGTTCTTTCTAATGAATTTCCCTCTCAGCTACATCAGGCCCGATTACAGAAGCAGCAGATTTACAGTTTCATGTCTCCGTTGATTGTGTCAGTGATTAACACAGGTGGGTGATGACAAGCAGATCTCACTACCTTCAGAGGTAATGCTTGGAAGAAACGTGAAGGAAGAAGGAACTAAAACATCACCGATTAAGTTCAGCAGCATTTCTTTACTGCACCAAACAGCAGGGTGAAGCCACTGAATCTCAGCTCACTGTAAACCGTGCACACTTTATAACAATTCAATTCAATTCAATTCAATTTTATTTATATAGCGCCAAATCACAACATAAGTCGCCTCAAGGCGCTTCATAGATACAGAGAAAAAAAAATAACACACTGACGTACCTTCTACAGTTTTAAGCCTTTTATGTTCACAATACAGGATGACGCCAAAGGCAACAATCAGGACAACCAGGAGAAGCAGGGCACCTGCGAGGACTCTGGGCCAGAGTGGAGGTTCTATAATCAACACAAACAACCACACCATCATCTAACATGATTCACATCAGAGTTCACTTCTGCTCTGACCTTTGACAGCACTGACCTTTGACCCTCAGGTATACTTCTGTCCGCCTCAGATCTCGTCCATACTTCTGGGTGGTGCAGGTGTAGGTTCCACTGTCAGAGACTGTAGGGTTCCTCAGAGTGAGGCTGAGGTCTCCAGTCTGCAGAGCGTCGGCTCTCATTGATGTTCGGTTGGAGTAACGATGGTTTTGTTCTTTCAGCTCATCTCCGCTCTGCAGACGCACGTGGACTGTTGGCTTCTTGAACTCATCACGGTCCCACACTGCTGCTGTGGTGTTGCTGGAAACATCCTTTGCTACCTGACAGGGCAGCAGGACAGAATCCACCCCCTCATACACCTCCACACCTGAGGCATGCTGAGAAACTGAGGAGAGAAACATGAAACGGGTGATTCCACAAACTTGAATCTGTTCATCTGGATGGAGCATTTTCAGTGCTAGACTTCTTCAGTCTCAGCTGACTGCAGGTTTCTCAAACCTTATAAACAGTACATTTGCACAATAACTGAAACCAGCCCACTGAATGAACAATAGGCAGGGAGGTCAGTTCCTTCATCATTAAAATGCATATTGTCATGACCACTGATCAGATAACCATTGGGTGTGCCATGGGTTCCCCAGTTCACGCACTGTGGGCAATTTGTACATGGAAGAAGTGGAAAAGAGGGCTTTGCTATCCTACCCTGGGACACCACCAAGCCATTGGTTCAGATATGTGGATGACACCTGGGTGAAAATGAAATCTCAAGACGTACCGCATTTCACGGATCACATTAACTCGGTGGAACGACACATCAACTTCACCAGGGAGGATATGAAAAGTGGCAGGTTAGCCTTCTTAGACTGTGAGATTTCCATCAGTAATGGAGGACAGCTAAAAGCTGATGTGTACCGTAAACCTACACATACGGATCAGTATTTAAGGTTTGACTCTCATCATCCACTGGAGCATAAACTGGGTGTCATCAGGATGCTACAAGCAAAAATTTCTGGCACAACTTCACCTACTTCCAAGGTGCATGAAGAGGGTGAGAAAGATCACAATACAGAAACTCCAGCAACACTTGAAGGTAAGACCAACGCTTTTCGGCTTGTGGCCTTCATCAGGGTCCTCATCAGCATGCTAACACACAGAGCGAACACCATCCCCACAGACACAACGGCCAGGGAAGGACAAGAACATCACGTCAGGAGGACCCTGAGTAAATGTGGTTATCCCAGCTGGACTTTTGTCAAAGCTGGGAAGGCACCTAAAGAAAGCTCCAGCTGATCCAGGAGAGAAGGACAACCGCTGCCTAAGAGAAAACCTGTAGTGATCCCATATGTGTCAGGAGTATTGGAGAAGTTGAGACGCATTTTTTCTAACACCAGGTCTCTGTGGCTTTTAAACCCCAAAACACGCTGGACAAAAACTGGTCCAGCCCAAGGATCGGGTCCCCGACACAAACAGAGTAGCATATTGTACGCTGTTAAGTGCAGGAGGATTGGCAGGATTTATACATCGGGGGACCCAAACAACCTCTGGCGAAGCCAATGACACAACACAGCAGAGCCGCCTCGTCAGGCCAGGACTCTGCAGTCTGTTCACACCTACAGGCCAGTGGACACTTTCAATGATGAGGATGTAACATCCTGGACAGGGAGGAACGCTGGTTTGAGGGCGGAGTCAAGGAGGCCATTTACGTGAAAAGGGAAAGACCATCTCTGAATGGAGGAGGGGCCTAAGGG